CTGAATGTTTTCCTAGCAGTCCATGGCATATTCAACACTCTTCTCCAGCACCACAGCTCAAAAGCATCAATTCTTCTTCTATCATCCTTAGTCATTGTCCAGCTCTCTGATGCATATCAAACAATTGCAAAGACCAGGGCCTGTATCAAGCACATCTTAAGCACCAGACTGACATCATTGCTCTTCAGTACTTTGGAGATGTCCCTGACAGCAGATTTTCCCAATGCAATTAGTCTTTTGATTTCCTGGCTGCTGGTACCAAGAGTGTCGATTATGGAGCCAGGCAAAGTGAAGTTGTTAACAATCTCAATCTCTTCACCGTCTACCATCATGCTACCAATTGGCCCAGTGGTGAGATCTTTGTTTTCTTGATGTTGAGCTTCAATCCATACTGAAGGCAGCAGTCTTTGACCTTCTGCAGCAAATGTGTCAGGTCTTGTTCAGTTTTGGCAAGCAAAGTTGTGTCATCTGCCTAACACAGTTTGATGATTCTTCCAATCCTGATGCCACATTCCTGCTCGTAGAACTCAGCCTTCCGGATGATTTGTTCTGCATATAGCTTGAAAAGATTTGGAGAAAGGATGCATCCCTTGCATCCAACTTTCCTGATTTTGAACCATGCAGTTATTTCCTTGCTCTGTTCTAAAGAATACCTCCTGTTCCAAGGACAGGTTTCACATAAGCACAACCAAGTATTCTGGGACTCCTATTCTTTTTCAGTGAGCCACAGTTTGTTGTGACCCACAGTTAAATACCTTTGCATAATTAATGAAACACAAACAGACATTCCTTTAGTACCCTCTACTTTCAGCTAAGATCTAACACTGGCTATAATATCCTTAGTGTCTTTGTATGTTGTTATGTGCCATTGAGTCACCTGTGACTCATAGCAACCTGATGTACAATAGCCCTAAACCCTGCTTGCCAATCTTATTGTTTCCGACACACCTACCCCCATTATCCCAGTGACCAAATCAATCCATCTCATCCAGGTTCATCCTCTCCTGAGCTGTCCCTTTACCCTCCTAAGCATGACATCCCTCTCCAAGGACTGATCTCACCTTGCAACATGTCCAAAGTATGTCAGATAAAGCTTCAGAATCCTTTTACAAAAATGATAATGTAAAAAAACCAAAAACAACAAAAACCCAAACAACAGATTATGGACAATGTGTTGATTTAATTTTAATACAGTTTGAGATTAAATGAATACTAAAGAATTAATGCTTTTGAATTGTAGTGTTGGTAAGATTACTGAGTATTTCATGCAAAGTCAAAATCACAAACAAATCTGTCTTGGAGAAGTTCAAGTTCTCCTTAGAGGCAGGGATGGTGAAATTGTCAGCATGTTGTCAGGAGGTACCATTCCATGGAAAAAGACAACATGCTTGGAAAGGGGGCGGTATGAAGGGAGAAACCCCTCAGAAGAGTGGACTGAAAAGGACCACAAAATGGGCTGAAGCATGGCAGAGATTGTGAGGATGGCACAGGATAAGTCCACGTTTTCATCTGTTGTTCACTTCACCACGAATTGTAGTCAATTCAATGGCACCTAAAAAAAACAGCCTACAGAGCTCTGGTTCCGTAGAGCATTAGATGGGCTGTCAAGCTTCAGGTCTGCAGTTCAAATTCACTAGCTGCTAGAAGAGAAAGGGATGGGCAATCTTTCCTCACAAAGATTTGCAGCCTTGGAAACTGGATGGAGGGCCATAATGGGTTAGATGGACTTGACAGCTGTAGGTCTATATTTGACCAAGGGCGGGGCCTTGTCCTTGGTAAATGCCATCACTTTGCAATGGCTCCAGTGGTTTTTCAGAAAACTGTAAATCACATGGCCATCCTTGTCCTGCAGAACAACTAGTGGATTTGAACTGTGTCCCTTTTGGATTGCAGTGCAGCTTTTTCTTACCACTAGGCCACCAGAACATCCTACAAAGTTTGAATAAGATAAAGACTTGAATAACCTTGAGTTTCTGACAGCGTAATTCACTTTTAAAAATAAAGCCATTATATAGAAACTAAGACAACAGACTGCTACCAAACTTTCAGTAAATTTCCATCACTAGAATCTCCTCTCCCAAGAGATCATCTGGTTGGCTAATAATTTTCATGTTAGACACAGGAGAGAGTCACTAGAACTGGAGTTGTGATACTCAAAAACATGGATAAAAGCAAAACTACTTTTAAACTCGTTTGGATTTTGAGCAGTGACACACTTTCCTCTCCTTGGCCTTATTTACCGCACTAATCCTCAGATCACAGGTACAAGGGAAGCCCACACATATGGCCTTACAACTGCCAGTTCACTTACCTCTTCTCTTGAGCAACTTCTGAGTACTATGCCAAGCAGTCCACAGTCTTTCTCACCTTGTAAATCTTTTTGCTAGAAACGTTATCTCATGGTACCCTGAGTCTAGACTGAAAACTAGAAACAATTAACAGTATTTTCTCTGGTAAGCAATTACAGTGGTGTACGACCTGTTAGGAACTCATGCCATTTCCTGAGGGTGAGGCCTCCTTTTCTGTTAAGATTGTTTCCTCCTTGGCAGTACACAATACTTGTTACATGGCTTCCAAGTACAGATGCAGTGATAAGCGGCATGACGACATGCTGACGCTGGTTTTAACTTCCTAATTTCATGGGTATGGTGTTTTGTCCTGTTCTCACATTGAAGTTACATTATAATGTGGTTCTTATAGGTATATGCCTGTCATAGAATGAAAAGGTTGATGGGAAGGTTAAAAGTAATTTGATTTCTCCTCCATGCCTTGCACAGAGCTATAGCCCAAGTGCAAAATATTGTTTTAAAGCTGCTGAATCAACATACATTCTGAGAAAGTTAATCTATGGAACTTAGAAATGTCTTATCTGTAGCATAGCATGATGATGGTAGTGGGAGGCAGAGTTCATATACATCCTGTATTTGGAAAAGAAGAAATAGAAGTAGACATATATCCCAATGACAGACTTAATCACCTAAACCAGAGCAGTATTAAGTATGAAAGGGAGGTGCAATTTAGTTGGAGTGGTGGTGGTGTTATAGAGTATGACTCAGTGACCTTATGAGCAACAGATCTGAAGCCTGTCCTATCCTGTGCCAACCTCAGTCTCCAACACCCTCGAGCATACTGCTGCAATCACTGTGTCAATCTACGTGACTGAGGGTCTTCCTTTCCTTCACCTTCCCAAGCGTGTCCCTTTCCCAGGCATAACCCCTCCTAGCAACACGTCCAAAACAAGTGAGACAAAGCTTCATCATCTTTGCCTCCAGGGAGCACTCTAGCTGCACCTTCACTGACCTATCTGGCTGGACCTATCGGTTCTTTTGGCAGCCCAAGGGAATTTCAGCACCATGCTGAACAATGCCACAACTCAAAATTATCAACTCTTCTTCTGCTACCTGAGCTGGGCCTTGGTAAACTAGAGGGTCCATTTAAAAAGCAGTGTAACTTTTAAAAAAGAAAATGCTAAGCATAACTCCTGTCCATTAGGAATAACTGGGGCCAGCAGACGGGCTTGATTCTACTTGCGGTCTTACTGCTTAAATTCAGGCCTGAAGTTAAGGGGCAAAGTAATCTGATTCCACATGGGCTAAAAGCAGGCAAAGCCACCCTTCACAGCCTGCATTCTCGTCTCCATCTCATGTTTCCTTGATATTTTCTACACCCTGTCGCACGCACAAGGGGCCTGAGAGTGCAGGGGGTTATGTGTTGGGTTGTTAAGCAAAAGCTCTGCAGCTCTGTGGCATTTGGACAAGAACAAACTGGGAGGAGGGTAGAGAGAATAGTGCAACAATGAATGAATGGAAACCCAAAATCTCTGTAAATGTTTATGAAAATTAATAAAATATAATTATAGGAAAAAAAAAAAGCTCTGCAGCTGTTCAAAGATGAAGCAGTTTGCTGCCACTATGATTTGCAGGTTCATAGCCATCATGATTTGGACTCCAAGGCTCTGGGCTTGGTTACGGCTTCTGCAGACACTAATAACCCCACGGCTCTAAAGACTGCTTTTGATCAGAAAAATCTTCCTCATCCCCCCGTCCCCATCTCCCAGTCTCCACAACTTGTTTCAGTACCAATCCTATCACTGTCACTGACTCCACAGGACCAAGAAGGGCTCCATAGGGATTCTGAGGCTGTCAACCCCACCTGTGATTTGCTGTTTAGCCCACAACCACTGTGCCCACAGGGGTCCTTGCCCCAAGTCCAGGGAATGGGCAATCAAGGGCCATTCTCCACCTGCCCACTCAGCTAAGGTTACCTACCTGGAATAAAAATGTCAATTATAGCAGAAGCAGTTTTGAAAGCTTTTAAAAGCCCTGGAGAAATGTGGTGTTACCAGGACCTTGGCAGCCTGCCAAGCGCACCGTCAGACTGAGTTACACATACTGAGTAACCCACATGCTTCCTTTCATATCTTTTAACAGTGTGTTCCCGGGATGCCTGAACTGGGGCTTGGTTAGGATGGTCCAGCCTGGCCCTTTTCCCCTCTGTCCCCCATTAGCACGGTCCAGCCTGGCCCTTTCTCCCTCTGTTCCCGACTAGCACGGTCCAGCCTGGCCCTTTTCCCCTGTCCCCCATTAGCACGGGCAAGCCTGGCTTTATCTCTGTGTCCCCCACTAGCACGGTCCAGCC